CCTCCCCTCGATCGCCACCCAAGACAGCATTGCTCAGCTGATGTCATGCAATGAACTTTTACAGCCAGCCACGGGACACTTTGTAGTCCTCGATGGCCATAGTTAGCGCGATGGAACTCGCCTTCTCTCTAATTAGCGCTCCAGTTAGCGTAAGGTTTTTAGCATGATAACAAGTAAAGCATTCCAGGAAACGTTCGTTTATTTGACTGTCCGTTGAGCCACAAGCAATTTACTCTGAGCAGCTAATCGGATGCATTCCACTCTATCTTCCACGGATCTAGCTACAGTATCGACACACATAGATAGTGAGGTCCCTCTTGGCCAATTGGAGGCCAGGATGATGCTCGGTAAGCCAATGGCAGAGCAGCTATGAGTATGTTGCGTTCAGGAAACATCGTTCACTCTGTAAACCAGTGTGGTGGTTGCTGTTGCCGTTTCCGAACGAAACAGTAGAGGTTGCTGTTGGATTAGACTTCGTTGTAGTGAATGTCTTCGCGAGGAAAGAGCAGAGAAAAAGATTTCCTATAACACAACAGGTTTTTTTTTTCGTTGTATGGGGGCAGGAGAGTGGGAATGGTGTTAATGCATGAAGATTTCGTTGTTGAGGAGTTTCACTGTATACCATTAAATTTGGCCTTATAAATATTATGTACATGTACCTATATGGAGGGTGGGGTCGCTACTTCGCGGATTTTCGTTTATCGCGGGTGGTTTTGGTCCCCATTAACCGCGATAAACGAGGGATTACTGTACTGCCTTCCCCCCGATCGGATGTGAACTGCATAAAAAAAAAAAAAAAAAAAAATCAACCAAAAAAACCAAGAGCCGGGTTTAATTTTTACATTTTTTTATGCCTGTTAATTTTCAGAAAGTTATTCTTTCTTTAACAGAAAAGTACCAACAATTTATGATGTATGCTTGTGCACATAATATCAACATTGAACTTGTCATTTAGTGTATTTTCAATTTTTGTCATGAGTTTAAAAGTAATTGTATTTTTGGTCAATGTACTTTGGTCATTTGTCTTTGTTTGGTCATGTGTCTGATGTTTCCACCATTGCCTTTCAGCACTTCTATCCAGATTGCTGACTTCTGCATTTGATGGTTATGACTTGGAGAGCATGATAACAGCATTTTTGTTGGCGCGGCAGGGGGCACTGCAAGGACCTGCCATCTTCCCTTCCTACAGCGACTGGTTCAAGGTTCAGTATTTTTCCTGGGTTCTGTATAATATGAATCATCATTGTTGTCATAACCTTGTGACTTCCATGGAAGAGATGTCAACAAGCCCTGTCAATAAATATTATCACATCATATCCTGTATTTCAGAGGTCACAAGCCTGGTGCCTGTGGGCACCAGGCAGCCCCCGATGACCATATGAATTGCCCACAGGCTTTGATCACCAGTGAAGGGACATTGTGATTTCCTGTTCCCCTTGTAGAACTGATCAATATAAGCTCTTGCAGGCATTAATACAATTAAAGTGTTGTTGTGAAATTATTGTTGGGAATTATTGTGAAAAATAATGAACATGATCAGTTCTTCACATAGATGAATTACATTAATTATTAATAGGCCATCATTAAAGGTACCGTATTTTCCGCACTAAAAGGCACACCTAAAAGCCTTCCATTTTCTAAAAAGCTCACAGCGCACCTTAAAATCCGATGCGCCTTGTGTATGGTCATTACGGTAATATTTCAACCCCAAAATGACTCTTTGCTCGAGACATGCTGACAACACAGAGTTCAAACTTAAGGCCATCGGTTTCGCAGTTGAACACGGAAATAGAGCAGCGGCAAGAGAGTTCAACGCTAACGAGTCAATGTTATCACTTGTTGTTGGTTAAGTGAACTGTGACACCGCTTTATTAAATACGTTTTACTGACATCTGATCGTTCTGTTGATATTTCCTTGAGCGTAGCTCCATCTAGTGGATGCATTGTAGATTGCGTCTTATAATGCGGTGTGCCCAATGTATGAAAAAAATTACAAAATAGGCCATTCATTGAAGGTGCACCTCATAATCCAGTGCGCCTTTTAGTGTGGAAAATACGGTAATTTGAGCAAATTTGTAATTCCAGAAACGGGTATCAAACTGGTAGTGCTTTACATTAATCTGTACCCCTGCTATATATTTCAGGTAGTTTTTGTACTTCAAAATGTACAGAGTAATAAGTCTCCTTCTTAGATCACAAGATATGATGATAGCATGCAGTACATTTCAGTGCTTAGGAAATTCTTTTTCATACTTGAATTTTTGTTGTTGTTGTTATAGGAGTCTTTTGGCATGGCCAGTGGCTTCCACGCTACCAGCAAGAAATCTCTGGTGTTTTTGCTCAAGTTTCTGTCTGACTTGGTTCCGTTTGAACCCTCACAGTACCTTAAGGTAATTTTCTGCACGTTGAGTGGTACATGAAGCCAAATTGTAATTCGAAAAACCTCTGCACATCAAATTGAGAAAAATATTACACTCTTTGCTAGACATTTTGTGGGTTTTCAAAAGACCAATCAGTTTACATTTGAGTTTGGTGTAAATGGTGCAAATTAAGAAAGTGTAACAATTAAATCAAGGACAAAACCCAAATCTCCATCTTTCCACCTGTAAGGTGCACATCATTCACCCTCCATATGTACCTGTGAAATACCGTAGCCTCTTGATGGAATATGTCTCCCTGGCCAAAACAAGACTTGCTGATCTCAAGGTAAAATATAAAAAAAAAGTGGCATTCAATAATTATAATATGTTCGCTTGTTTGCTAATCTCAAATATCTATGTTTCCAGGGATCAGTGGAGAACACGGGTCTGTATCAGGATATTTCAAGTGCTGGAGATGCACCATCCCAGGTACAGTGACATTGTGGCAGAACAAATGTGTTATTGGCAATGAGGTTGTAAGACAGACTTGATTAAAATTTGCTCATTTTTGTGGTGTTTTTTTTTTTTTTTTTTTTTTAATGTGGGCTGCAGTGCCAGGATGTAAAGGATGTGGAGAAAGCCTATTCTCTTTTTGAGAGTACAGGAAAAATCTCCGCCACTGTTATGGAGGCCAGGTACTCTTAATTAATTAATTTAGCTTCTCTCTTTTTTTTTTTTTTTTTCGCGTCCATGTATAATGTTTCTGTACTCTTTTATATATTAGGCAATGGTTAAACACATAATACAGCAACAAAAATAAACTCTTCAGGTAACAATCTTGTCCTCACAGTATTTTCCGTCGGACATATTTCCTCTCACGGTTCCTTCCTGCTCTGCTTAGACCAAGAGTGGTGAGTCTTGACTTTATTTGAATTTTTTTATGATCCCTTTTTATTGAACATTTGCATTTTACAATATTTCTGCAATTGTTTATACATTATATGGGAGCTGCGATCATGATCGTCTGATTTTCTTGGAAATGTGGCCGATCAATTACTGTAAGTGGCCAATTGTTCTTAACCAATATGTACTCTGACAGTTTACAGCAGTAACAAACAATTAACAATGGTGTCATGCATTTATACAAAGAAAGCTGTACAGTATTTTAGAGAAAGCGATACATTAACATTATGTTCCTTTTAATTTACATTAGTGTCAATAGTCCCAAATTGAATTTTTTCGATAAATAGCTTAACTTTCACAAGTAACGCTCAATGCACTGCAGAATGAAGCTGCTAATGACCTAGATGTAACAATTTTACACACACCCTAAAGTGAAGGTTAAAAAAAAAACAAAACACCCATATAGTGACATCAATGTGCGCATTAAATATGACACGCATTCAACTAGTATTAACAGAAGCACACATACATGACAAGGATGAACTTCCTCGTAACTATATCATTAAATGTATTGTGCTACGCAATGCGCTCTCGGAACTGAGTGGGTAGATATGACACATGCCTGTGATGTGTGCTTCCTGCGACATACTGGCAAAGTCTTGCGTCCTATGTTCAAAGATTTCTGTTGACAAAAAAGTCACCTTCATGAAAATCGTTTGAGGGTTGAAAAAGCTATGGCTTATTTTCAAAGCACATGCATTGCCCTTGACTTTGATGGGAGCGTCGCCACCATCAGTGGACAAGTAATTAGCATCTGGCTTTGTTGTGCTCCGCTCAGCACAGTTAGAAACCTTCAATCACCGCTAAGAGTTTTGCAATGGGTGGCAGTCATTGTCTGGCCTTGTAATTTGTGTTTAATCCATATAGGACATTTGCAAACAGCTGCTTTTACTTGGAGGAAATAATGATCCACATTTCCCCCTATTTTCCGAAATGTTACGGACCAGTGACTGGATCATAATCTGGTTCTGCATTTTCTGCATCTATTTAAAGCATGGGTGTCAAACGTACGGCCCGCGGGCCGGATCCGGCCCCCAAAGGACTTTAATCCGGCCCGCGAGATGATTATGTAAAGCAGTGGTGTCAAACATACGGTCCGCGGGCCGTTCCATCAGGCCCACAGGATAATTTAAAAGTGAAGAAAATGCATAAAAGACACAGAATAAATATTTTTAATAAGGTGCAATTCATTGAGTATCCGCTAGGGGACACTGTTTTGATCAGAGAAGAAGACAACAGCAGCCTCAGTCCATCACTGAGACAGACCCATGACAGCAGACGCTATCAATAGCACTCTCACATTTACACATTTAATAGCACGCTCCTTAGTTTGTAAGGTGTAGGCAGGGGTTCCATTTAGATTTTATATGCACGTGTAAATGGTTTAAAACTTCCTTTCTTTATAAATCTCGTTTAATCTTAAAGTGCATTACTCTATTTTTCAAAACCAATTACTTGTTAAAGTTTGTACAATCAGTGGGATCAGTTGCAATGCATATATGTGAATGATAAAAGTAAATTGCACATTTGTCAAAGGAAATGTAAGGTGCTTCATGAAATGTTTTATAAAAGATATGTTCATTTAATTTCAACATTTTCCTAATGTTCTTGTGCTTCTTTATACCAAAACAAAGGAAAGACATATTGTTTTGGTTATTTATAGCAAAGTATGGTATCATTTTAATGGTCCGGCCCACTTGACATCTACCCAGGCCGTATGTGGCCCACCATGTGAAATGAGTTTGACACCCCTGATTTAAAGCAATGTCCTGTTTTCAAATAATAAAAGGAAATAAGAAATGTAACAATTTTAAAAATTGGATTAATCAAGAATAAAAAAACTGATAAATTAATTATTTACTCGTAAAATAATACAAATAATTATATTATGTAGCTGTATAATCCATATTGATTTAGATGGCTAAAAATATAGCAGTAATATTGACTGCTGTTCATAAGATTGATTTATGAGCCAATACCTTTTACGTTCCTGTTTTCCTTTATTAGTTCCCGTGGCTATCAACCGCCACGGTTGACACATTATGGCTGACACCATAATGTAGATTAATCCTGGCGAAAACTGCTTACCGATCAATGACTCATTCTTTCAAGTCATCAAATAAGCATAATAACTGGGAAAAGTTACAACAATCTCTTAATTCTTCACATGCACAATTACAGAACAAATAAACTTTATCTAATAGCAATTGCTAAAGAATTAATGAACTGAAAAGATAAATAGATGATGTTTGGTAATTGAAGTAGTTTTTTATTACATGTTTATTACAAGTCTCAGGGGTGTCAAACTCCTTTATGTCGTGGGCCACATTTTCGTTACTGTTTCCGTGAAGGGTAGGGTGGTCCATTTTGGAAAAGTTTGTCGGATTCGTCGGGCCGGGTCGGAAATCTTGTCGATACTATGACACAAGGATGTGTGCAAAATTTTATTCCGATCGGATAATTTTATCCCGTCCCGCAGAGCGACCAAAGTTTCCCCTATGGAAAGAATCTTACGGGGCTGAATGGTAGTACGGTTTCTCCCGTACAGTAAGGATTTTGTTTTGCTCAGTTCGCACTTGCAATAATTCAAAGACGGAAGACAGGAACGCATGTATTGCAAAAAAGGCAACCGTGGTTATCCTTCAACACTGGTGAGATTGTTGGTCCATGTTAACTGGTCCATCTGTCTATCTGTCCATCTGTCTATAATGTCCATCAACACTAGTGACACTGTTAGACCGCAAAAAAAAACGAAATCCGCCGTGCGCGCCATCCCATGCCTACTTCGCGCACGGGTGCAACGCCCGGTGTCGCTCCACGACCTGCAGAAGGTGCTGTCGCTGTTCCTCGTCGCGCGGGATGGCGCCGCAGAACGCGCTGATGAGGGCGACGCCCCTCTCCGCAAAGTCTTTCACCACCCGTAGGTGGCGAGCGCGCCGACGCTCAGTTCGCACTTGCAATAATTCCAAGACGGAAGACAGGAACGCATGTATTGCAACAAAGGCAACCGTGGTTATCCTTCAACACTGGTGAGATTGTTGGTCCATGTTAACTGGTCCATCTGTCTATCTGTCCATCTGTCTATAATGTCCATCAACACTAGTGACACTGTTAGACCGCAAAAAAAACGAAATCCGCCGTGCGTGCCATCCCATGCCTACTTCGCGCACGGGTGCAACGCCCGGTGTCGCTCCACGACCTGCAGAAGGTGCTGTCGCTGTTCCTCGTCGCGCGTAATGGCGCCGCAGAACGCGCTGATGAGGGCGACGCCCCTCTCCGCAAAGTCGTTCACCACCCGTAGGTGACGAGCGCGCCGACGAGCCGTGGTGAGCTTCGGGCTGCCCAACAAGCCACACTTCGGTGGCTGAGCGTGAGCGTCTTGCAGTTGCAGCGGCCATGCTGAACGCAGGCACAGCCACGACTAACGCAATACGCAACGCTTCTCCTGGCCCAGCAGGAACTGCCGATCCTCGTGCTCTTTTTTTTTTTTTTTTTTTTCGATGTCGAAAAGCGTCCTCAGCTCAGCGTCCAGTAAGAATTCCGGCGATTCTCGACTTCAATTGAAAGATATTAGCTCGCCAGTAGGTGACCGTTGTGTGTTAGGCGTGCGTTTGAGTTTGTCTCCGGCTGCTGAGAGCAGCGATGGAATGGTTAGTTAGTCAGGAGGTGATCGTTCGGGCAACATTCAGCCCAGCCAGTGTCACGCATGGCAAAATACACGGTTAAAATACACATGTTCACCCTATTGAGACCAGTTGTTATGGTGGAAACTTTGGCCGCTTTGCGGGACGGGAAAATATCATCAGATCGGAATGAAATTTTGCACAGAACCTTGTACCATAGTATCGACAAGAATTCCGACCCGGCCCGACGAATCCGACAAACTTTTTTTTTTTGCCATGAAAATGTGGACCACCCTAGTGAAGGGCCTTTATGACTGAAACCATATAAAAAAGTCAATAACAATGGTTTATTCAACTATTGTTTAAGTTACTGTAATGAGGGGTTTGGTCACAAGAAAATGCTTACAATTTGTCTCTAATTCATAAATATGTGAAGCTTTTGACAAACATTTTATATCAGTGGTTCTTAACCTTGTTAGAGGTACCGAACCCAACCAGTTCATATGCACATTCACCGAACCCATGATTACGGGGAATTAAAAAAAAAAAAAAACTTTTTGCAAATTCAAAATGTAAAAAACGCATTTGTTAAAAACAGAAAAAAAAGTTAATCCAATTTCAAGACATAAGTATACGTTTTTTTCATTTTATGATGTACTATCATGACCGTCACACGTTGACTATTGAGCGAACTAAATTTCCCGCAGCACTGATTGGACATGCAATGTAATGTGATCATCTGCACCCAGTGATGGCCAAGCGGGCGTGTCACAACTATTTGACATGTTGAGTTGGGTATGTCTTAACCTCCAAGGAAGAGGCTCCGTCGAACCCCTGAGACCGATTCACCGACCCCCTTGGGTTCGATCGAACCCAGGTTAAGAACCACTGTTTAATATGTATACAATACAGTGATCCCTCGCTACTTCGCTGTTCACTTTTTGCGGTTTCAGTGCATCGCGGATTTTTCAAAAGCATTCATCAAAAAAACTAAATAAAAATAGCAAAAAAGCCGCAAAAGGTCCGCGAGAGGCAGCGAAAGTCAACAGCAGCGAGTCACATAGAGCAACATATCCAGTACTACATGTATATATTTACTGTATTTTGTTATTTATACACTAACCTAACCTGACATATACGTCTTATACATGTATATATACACTATATTAGTATATACAGAGATGAAAGTCCTCCGGATTTTCCCGGAATTCCGGGTTTTTCACATTTTTATGAAAATCTCTCCGGAGAATTGAGGAAAATTTGCCTAAAATTAATCCGGATATTAGTTGACAACATTGAACGAAGACGCGTTTGAGTTTGTTGTT